GTAAGGATGTAGTGATGAGCATTAGAACGGGTGCACCGAGTGTAGACCCGAATAGTGGGAGGAGGAGATGGTGCACTCAATGGAACAGGGGACTTCTCCGTCGTAGGAACAATGACGGGAACATCAATACGAATAGGATAAGGGATAGTTTCAAAGAAATCAATCTCCCCAACTCGAGGCCGTGCTAGAAAAATAGGGAACATTTTCAAAGGAGATATCAACACTCACATAAATTTTGTTTGCAGTAGGATCAAGACATCAATACCCCTTTTGAGTTCCGAAGTACCCTAAAAAGAAACATTTTATGGATTTGGGATCAAGTTTACTCTGAGTAGGGGCAGTGTTCTGAACAAACGCCGTGCACCCAAAAATCTTGAGATCTAATCAAGAGAAGACCAGATTGGTATGGAAGCATGACATTAGAGTGGCTAAAGAAGTATGAAACTTGTGAATTTTAGATGAGACTCTATTTATGAGATAGGTAACAAAAAGAATGACATTGTTCTAAAACCATTTCGGGACATTGAATTGAAACATAATAGAGCGAGCAACATCAAGGATGTGACAATTTTTCGTCTTAGCTACCTCATTTTATTGAAGAGTGTTCATACACGAGCTATGGTGGAGGATACTCTTACTTACCAAGAATTCACCAAAAAATAGAGTCGAAAAATTCACGACTATCGTCAGTCTGAAGGGCCTAAATAGGTGTTTTGAATTAAGTTAAAACAAAGGTGTAAAAATTTTGAAAGTGACAGTAACTTCCTATTTGCCTTTTAAAATGCATACTCGTGCCATTTGAGTAAGGTCATCAAGCAAGGTCAGAAACTACCATTCATTGGTGTAACTGGAAGTGCGAGAGAGTCCCTATATGTCACTATGAATGAGGGAGAAAGGAACGAAAGGTGTGTAAGTGTGGGGTGGGTAATGGACCCGATGATGTTTGGCTAACTGACATTTCACACAATTAAAGTTAGAAAGATTTTTATTAGAAAACATTAGATGATACAACTTTTTTAAATATTGAAAATAGGATAACCTAAACAATAATGCAACTACATAATGAGACATTCAATGACTTGAGATAAGTTACAAAACCTGAGTGGCGTGTCCTCACTTTCCATACTCTTCTTTTGGAAGTAGTATAGTCCAGCTACTCATTTAAAAAATTCCAATCATCCTCCGCAAACGACGATCCTAAAAAATACAACAATTAGAAGAAATGTTAGCAACACAATCAATATCATTTATCAACTTGCTGACAGATAACATGTTACATTGCAACAGGAGAACGTATAAACATACTCCAGAGTTAGGCCGATTGTTAATACAACCGACCCTTTACCCGTAATGGAACTAGAGGAGCCATCGGCAATTCTAAATGTATCTTTTACAGAGCATGGAAAGTAAGTCGAGAAAGCTTGTGAGCATCTGGTTATAAGATTCGCGACGCCTGAATCAATAATCCACGGACTAGAGAAGGAATAAATCGAGAGTCATAAGAAGAGTAACTTGTCAAATGTTGAAGGTCGACGGACACGCAGAGACTTAATTTGCTCCAAGAAGCTTGATCAATTGCTCCATCTAGTTTTTCAGAGATTGGGAGGATTTCGAGATGTTCCGGGAAGGAGTCGGTAGAGCCATGGTAGACTCGGATGTCACCGTGAGACCCTTGGCAGCAGAGAATTTGGTTGAAGCTTTGTATGTTGACTTAACGTGAGATTTCCAACACTTGTCCCGAGTGTGATTGAGTTTGTGATAGTAATCACAAGTGGGGTAACCGATCCACAGTGGCATGGATGAGGGTTGAGCACTATTTGAGATCAAGGTAGATGATTAAGGTCATGGATGAGGGTTGAGCACTATTTGAGATCAAGGTAGATGATTTAATTGAAGGAGAAGTGTCGAGTATGACAAATCTCCGGCTTTCTTCCCAACGAATCTCGGTGAAAGCAACGCGAGTGGAAGAGGATCGCGACCAAGAATAATGCCCCGGACTTCGTCAAGATCTTTGTTCAGGTCGGGTAGGAATTGGAACATGCGATCTTTTTCTACAATCTTCTGAAAGAGGGATAGGTAGGCCGGAGAACCCTGGTCACAACCCTTGACCCTTATTTTTCCTCCCAAATTTTCTTAGAGACCTTATAGAGATGGTCAGAGTTTCCTAAATCCAAGTATGTATCACGAACAACCGTCTAGAGAACACTAGCTTAAGGGAGGAACATATATGAACGACTAATTGAAGTCACCATGGAGTTAATCTGCCATGACATGACAATGGAGTTCTCCACTTCCCAAGCTCCATATGTTGGGTTAGGCTTTGGAGGCTCACGAATCATACCTGGAGGTGACCGAATTTCTCGCGTCCTTTGATAAACAAAGATACTGTTTGGGGCAATTAGAAAAAGTTAATGTCGTTTAGTTTATGATTCATTCAAGAAGTTCATGCTAATTTCTGGTTCTCCAGTCTGTAAAGGGATTGAGGTCAGTGCGATCTTCGGTGGACTCAAGCACATCAGTAAGACGTTTGATGGTGGAGGAATCCATCATACTTTCAACAGAGCCAAAAGTGATGGTTAGTTGTTGAGACATAGGAAAGCTGGCGAGAGGGATGTCCAGTAGCTGAAAAAGCTTCTGGAATCAACAGTCGGGTAGAAGTACAACCAACGGCCGAGGAAAAATAGTCGGCTAGAAGGCTGTGCAAGGTGGCCCCACGACAAAAAAACAATCGGCTTAAAGGAAGTTGTTGGAATAAAAAAACCAGACAAGAAAAACAACCGGCTTAGTAATAACGGAAGCTGTGGAATAAAACAACGGGCTTAGAGAAGCTGCTGGAATAAAATAGTTGACTTAGTAAAAGTGGATGTTTCTAGAAGGAAAAACAGCTGCTTAGAGAAGGCCTCTATGTTGCTGGAAGGCCTGTAGAAAGGCCGGCTTAGAGAAGTTGTTGGGATCAACACCTTGTGGCTGCCGGCAAGAATTCTATAGAAGAAGAGCTAGAGGTGGGTGACTCTAATACCATGTTGAATTGTGACTAGAAGAGTATGGTATTATTGATAGAAGGAGGGGTATTTAAACTCAATTATGATGGACTCGATAAAGGAAAGAAATAAAAACAGAATTTAAAAAAAAAAAAGAAGGAAATAAAACATAATAAAACAAATAGGAAAGAAAAAATAAGATTATAAAAGCTAATAATAAGTAATAACGGTTAAGAGTTGTCATTATAAATCAAATAAATATTACCAAAATAAATTGATGACTAAGATCAAAGACTATACATATAAAATAATGCATATGTACTGTATAGTATGACCAAAAATAATATTACTGATGTCTTTTAAGCGGCTCCAACCAAGTGAATTTTCTGTTTTCTAATTCAAACAGCTCCCCACCACCACATGCTCCACTAATTTTGGAAATAGTTAAAATCTTTCTTATTTAGCGGATCATATATTTCCTGTTTTCTTTTACAAATCATTCCAAGCCACACTAAATCAACTCCCCAAAAATACAAACAAGAGAAGTTTGTACAACTTTCTTTCAAAGTTTTATTAATAATCAACAAAATTATTTCCTAAATATATACACTACCTCTTTCATAAAACGCATCACCTCCTAATACACACTCAAATCTAATCCACACATGAACCATTATTGAAATACATCCTGACTGCTTACCAGCTATTTTACATGAGCACCATCCATACCATCACTTCCTTTCACTACTCCTATCCAGCATCTAAAATAAAGCCCAACATATATATTGCCGCAGCAATACTTACTTTCTACCCTCCTATCCAGTAGCTCACGCTGCCATAGTTCTGCAGTAACACTTCACTCTATCCTAAATTCTCTGATGTAATGGGTTCACAAGCACTAAATTCAGTTTAAGATTTTCTGTGCAACCACTGGTTCACATGCACAAGCAATACTGTATGCAGCTGCCATGACCAGCCACTCCTGTTTTTATGTTAAACTTCTCCGCATCATAATGGACAGATAACAATAGCAGATATCTCATCACAGCACTTTTAAAAATAGATGGACAAAAATATCATCAGAGAATTCGTTATCATTTAGAGATGCTATCAAGTCAAAACAAGCTCAAGCCAACCTGGATACAGGCTCAAATAAAAACATCTAGTCAAATCAGAAAGCTCAAACACAAGTTTGTATATTATACAAGTTTTAAATATGCTCAAAGTTGAGCTCATAGCTCCTTAAGCCAAGCTTGCAAGCTCGTCAATAAGTCAACCTCGAATCAGCTTGATTTTGTTACATCCCTATAATATCATTGAACTAACCATCAACCTACATCTCCTTTTAGAACATATCTCAATTATATCAATGTTGGTCATTTACATCCAAGGCACACACACAATCATATCACTAGACTGAATATATTTCTCTTTAAAAAGATACCTATAGTCATCAAACTCAAAAGGATCACACATTTGCCTCCATATTAAATGCATAAATCTAATGCTTCCCAGTTTCCATTGGTCAAATCACAAGTTTCACTTTTTCCTTCAGCCCCACATGTACAAAATCATACGCCTCACCTTTATGATCCTCCCCTTTATGGGAATGGTCCATTCAATAATAATATGATGAGCCACTACCTGATTGTGAAATGAATCTTGAAAATGACAACCAATTGTCAAAGCCTGATATGGCACATGAGTTTGCTCAACTAGACAAGCTCCAGATTCAGTTTCGTTAGTCATGTCATGCTTTTATTTCATGGATTATAACATGGTTGTCTTCCATGTTATTTACTTATGACTATGTTAATCTTCATTTCAGAATAACCCCATATATATTAATAGAAGTGTTTATACAATGTTTGCAATTATTTATAGATAACTCAAAACGTTAATCTCTAAGCCTTATAGATACAATTGAAAACTGTAAGCATGCAACTCTAAGCAGCATCTGAGATTAGAACGATTAATGCTCATTTCAAAGAAAATAGAAGGAAAAAAAGAAAAAAATACCCAGACGACCTCACAGTCTGATCAGTATGAATTCCAACCAGCAAAAAGTCTCCAAGTGCTTTAGCAAGGCGTAATATCTACAAAAAAAATGCTTTTTCAGTTATTACAAAATATTATTTTGATCAGAAAGAGAAACTCAAAATTCAAACTACAAAAAATAAATTCAAGTATGTCAGTATATGTAAGTGGACTGCTTGTCTAGAAATTTGTACCCTAATCTCACAAAACTTCAATAATTGCATGCCTCGTAACACTCGCACAACCCAAACAAAATAAAATTTTCACACAATTACAGGAGGAACAAATCTTCATTTTCCATTGTGGATCTGGGAAATGTTATTTAATCTCCTGTAATCAGGCTGAAAATTTTTCAATTAAAGTGTTGGCGGCATACATTTTAGGCCATTTTCTTCAAATGAATACTTACCCGTTTGTAGTCAAGGAAATAATTAAGTTCACTAACACTTCAGGAAAACAACCTATAGGGCGATGATAGCAAAATAAATTGTCATTTTTAAAAATCAAAATAGAAAAAGATTTACAAGAGAGTAATAACAGCGCATAATTTCCTACTAGGTGTAACGATAAGTGGCATGCATTTGCAGCATGGGGAGGGGGAGGGGGGAGGGGTTTAGAATACGTAGTAACAGAAGAAACATAGTACTAACATAAATAGAAGGAATGTACAACAACTTATCAGAAGGTGAAACCAGCAATTCAAGAGATTCTGGTAGACCCCACCTGATACTGAGCATTTATCTGGGCAAAAAATATGGACTCTGTGAAGTATATCCATGCTTCCCAATGCATACGAGTAATAAATCTGAGGTGAAAAACAATGCCACTATACCAACAATCTTAGAGGGAACACAATTTATGCTAATAAGGACATCAAATGTGAGATAAATACTAGCGTCTTTACTACCAAATTCATTAAAAAAAAGAAAAAAAAAAGAAAGTCAAAGGTGAAATTGAGCCCAGGAACAAGATGTATGATATCACAGCTCAGTAGTCCTGCGATCCTAAACCTAAATATTGATAATTCAGCACAAGTATCTTCTCCTAGATCACAGATGAAATTAGTGCAAATAATCCGATTTGTGTTGCCTTCAGAAAAACTAAAAAATAATTTTTATTTGATTGCAATTTTAACTTCATTAGTACCATGAAAAACAACAACAAATTATTCTTATTCAATAATATAGATATTCATATTTTAGGATTATCATATTTTCGTATCAAACTATCGAATTTATTTATTTGGGTATTTAATTGATAATTTTCGGCATTAGAACTTCTAAATTTCTTAATGGAGAGTTAGGGCCAATGCCTAGAGGGCTAAAGTCAGTCGTTGTTTAAATTTTCAATCCATCTCAATGTAAACATATTTTATAAATACTGATAGAAACCATGTGTTTACAACATCTAATCAATTAATTTGAAAGCTATTTAACAAATCCTCCTATTCTCTCTTCGGCGAGTCTCCCTTCCTACGGATTCTTCCGCTTTTCAAGCATAAGGCCAAGATTTCCCTCTTCACAAATCCCAAAATATAGAGCTACTTCTCCGAATTATCTACTCTTCACTGGAAACTAGTTAGTTTCTCTTTCGAGCTTCCTCTCCCTACAACCCAATTTCATCCCTCTTTCAATCAAGGATAAATTCCAAAAATACATCACAGTTTACAAGCAAATTCAATAGAAGAAAAAAAAAGGGAAAGATCAATAGCTAGATCTATCATCAGGTTTCCATCAATTGATGGATCATGCTTTCAATTAATGGCATTTAAAGCTGTAGCCTGTAAATGAAGACTTAAGAATTAAAAGAATTTACAATAAATATGACATACCTCCACATGCCCAGCATGGAACAGATCAAATGCACCATCTATGTAGATTATTCGGGCATGGGGATCAGGACTCTGCAGAAAGAATAAACAAAAATATCATGCAGCATGATGTGAAAATCAGCTAGTCAATATTAAATTTATGAACACTTTAGATGAGCATGAATACAACAGATATCAATATGAACAAGGTTAATAAACAATTGAAAAACATATTCAGACTAGCAAAGAAGAGATCAATTTATCTTTATTCATGAACAAAGCAGCAAACTTAAAGACTAAACTTAAATTGCATTGTGGATGGCAATGAAAATTTAAACACTAATGAGACAATGGTTGCTCAAACTCGCTAGAACATAAGAACAGCTCTCATAAAACCTTTATAATCAAGAAAACGTCACTATCACAAATTTTCAGATACATTTGAGAAGAAACAAAGGTCCTATCATAGATAAAAAATAAATTTGTTATGAAAGAAATTTGTTATGCATCAAATTTCTAAAACGACACATAGAGGGTATATCCCTCGAGTGTTTGGTTTATTCCTACATAATCTGCATACTAATCATAATGGATCTGCCCACATGATTATATCAAATATGTCCGTAGCCTTTTGGTCCCACAGATTATAACCACTATCCCAGAAACAATAATCAAACTATGAAGCAAATAGAACCAATAATCATGAAGACTTAAAAGATGTGAAATAAGTTTCAAAGTCATTGACAACATCATCACATTCATTCCATGAATTAATGAACAATCAAATGAATAATTCATTCCATGAATTTATGAAAATTCAAAAGGTATAATACTAAGTGTAAGATTCCTGCCTACCTTTCCATTAGAAAATTGAACTATACGGCGAGATGTTGGCAGAAAGTGAGATATTCGTGTTCCCCCTCGGGGAGACCCGCCATCATCAACTCTTGGGCCATGTCCATGGCTGAATTGCCTTTGTAAGGAAGAATGTGTATGATGATCTCCACTTGATCTCTCTCTCACGCAGAGAAGCATGCGACCTGACAAACAAAATGACACAACCAACTATTAATGGCTCGTCATCTGTCACGAATCAGTTACTAATTTTAGATAGCAGAAAGACATCATGACATGCTGACAGAATAAATATCTTATAGTTCAAATGAATTTGAAAATTTGCTAACAAATCACAATGAAGATACTTCACCTTGTTTGAGCATAGGCTAGAGTATGACACGCAAGGATAGGAATTACTCAGTGGGGATGAGTAAAATCAGAAAATTTATTACAAAATAAGCATATTCTTACCAACAATATCAGTGCTCGACACTCCTTCAGTTCTCTTGATTTGCTTATAGCGGCCAGCTTTCTTGGCAAGCGCGTAGGCATCAGTGCCATCTGGTAGCAAGCAAGGATCATCACCATGGATAATGTAATCTATATTATACTCATTGAAGAGCCTTTTCATGAATTCCTCCGTGATAGCATAGGGAGCATCCGGGATGACCTCATCAACCCATTTAACTGCACCAACCATGATCAATCTGCCATAAAAAGTTGCAAAATCAGAAGTTTATACAATACATACACAAAAAGGAAGAAGAGAAAAAAGCAGAGGGTCCATTAGTCCCGATATTTGTAAAAAATGATCCCACCAAAAAGAAAATTTAGGAAGCATTCATTATAGTTTAATCCTTAAAGTTGTATAAGTATTTGTGCGCATAAGATCACCACTACCATAATACATAAACTACACTTTACGAAGTGATTACTTGCTTTATATGAACTTAAAGGATACAATAAACTTAAAATAACTAAATAGGATAACAGATTCTGGTTGTCTAGTCTTTTGCATGTCCAGCAATTAGGAAGCGTAAATAATCAGATTATTGAGTCATCAAGCACCAAGAGTAAGAAATCAGAAAAAGCTAATGTGAACTTAAAGCCTACCCATCCAAAGGGTGGTGAAAGGTTGAAATGTTATATTATAAAAGGAAGCAGAGGATTAATGTGTATAAACTACTATTCTACTATTCAACACACCATAGATCCAGCATCTAATTTAAGAACTACAGAACAAAACATCCTAGGAATTTGGTAACGGCACTAAAGAATTACTTATACCTACCCAACTACGCTTTGCAATGAAGACAATAAGCAAAGCTGGCTTGAGAATAAAAGGGGAGCAAATAAAGCAATAGACAAAAAGGTGAAGCGAAGAACAATTACTAGTAAAACATACTGAAAAAAAATATGGGCAAATAAAGAAAGCAAGATTTGGATCATGCGACCTGCTCAACCAACATTCCAAGGTAAAAATCAGATCAAACTTGGTATAACAAAACTTATTACAACAGACTTCATAGCACTTCACAAGCATTCATGACTGACAATCAAACCAGAAGGACTGACCTTTCGTTGATAGGGGTCACCGGCGGGCCCTTGTTCGCCGTGATCTCCGCATCACTAACCACACCAACGACAAGCTCGTCCCCGAGCGCGTGCGCCTGCCGAAGGGCGTTGCAGTGGCCATAATGCATCATGTCAAAGCACCCGTCCATGTAAACCCGAACTGGTCTCTTCTTCCTCCTCCCTGGCAACCGCAACCCCGCTAGCTGCGGCATATAACCGAGGTGCAGGGCCAGCACGGAGGCACCGAGCACAAACCCTCCAAGAAGTACCGCCACCGCGTTGCGGGAGGGTGTGAGTTTCTCAAGAACGTGGCGGCACCCGCCTCCCGCGTCGCCGTCGGATGCCATAGTAGACGAAGTGGTGGAACGGTCGGATCTAGGGTTTGTGGTCACTAGGGTATGGAAAGAAGCACTTTCGAGCTCCCGCCATCGATCCACGAGGACATTGGAGACAGTGAAGAAAAAGGAAAGGCGAGCAGCCGGGATTCGGATTCGCCTCGTTTCTGGAAAGGCCCTGAGATTCGGGAAATTCAAGCCGTCCAATCCCACTTTCGTTTCCTTTTGTTTTTATGGACATAACGGGTTTTCCACGTTTTCTGTGCCCTCAATTCTGGGTTCCCTGACTTCCGAACGCAAGTGGCCAACGGCGGTGATGCGATTTTCGAGTGGACTGGATGATGACAAGCCCAGCTCTTATGAAACGCCACGTGTATAAAGTGGAAGCGGCTTTTCGAGTTTTTCGGTTTTAGCTTTTTGTATAAATTTAGCTTAAACTATTTTCAATCATTTATATTATAGGTTTAATTATTTTTTTATTTTTTTATCTATTATTTTTTATAGTTTCGGATAGTATGGTTGATTTTTTACTTTTTTTTGTTCTTATATTTTAAGTTTAAACTATGATGTACCCTTTCATATTATGATATTTTATCATTTTTTGGTGACAATAATTTAGTATATTCATTTCATTTAAATTTGGATGAAAATTTACTTTTCAACAATTTTTTTTTAAGATTCTATGTTAAGGTTTTATCTCTCTTGTCTCTGGTTGGAGTTTACTAGTTTTCGTATGGGCTAAGCTAAGCTTAATTTATATTCTTTTCTATAAATTCATTTTCTTCATTTATTTTGTGCAGGTATTCTTGTATTCATTATAGCTTCAAGTGCCTTGGGATTGTTGTTTGGATCTTTTCATCCAAAAATTTTGTTGTCGGATATTCTTTTGGTGTTGTTTGAATTGCTAATCCAACATCCTTTGCAAAATTAAATGTCTTTGGATTGTTTGGTTTTATTGTGATTGTTGTTTGTTTGGATATCTTTTTATGAGATTCTTTAAAAACAATGCTTTTGTTTTGGGAGTGGGGTATAAGCTATCATTTTAATTTGGAGGATGATATGTCGAAGCTTTCTCTTGTTTTCTACTTCAAGTGCCTTAGACTATGTGAAGTTAATGCATTTGTTTTAGGAGTTGAATTAGAGCTTTCATTCTGGTTTGGAGCTTTGTCTATTGAAGATGTTCTGAGTTGGTGATACTTTTGCATCCAAAAAAGTATTATGTTTGTTGTTGGATTTTGGTAGATTGGTGTTGTTTGGTTGTATAATTATGTCTGTTTTTATTCGGTTTATATTTTGTTGTAATTTAGGTCATTTGTATTTTTTTTTTAATAAATCTAGTCTAGGCCCTCACTTTCCTCGATGTGATGCTCAAAGTGTTACAAAATTTTTAAAAACAATTATATTTTGTAGATTTAGGATGCCAAGTGTGATCATAGCTGCAGGGTGAAGACATTTCAGGAGTGCAATAATAGAGAAATTATTAAAGAAATATCATATCAACCATCAAATTACTACTACTTATCATCCTAAAAAAAGTAGTTTGGCTGAATTATCTAATCGTGACATTAAAAGGATATTAGAAAAATCTGTGAATCCAACAAAAATGAATTGGTCAACCAAATTTGGCTATGTTTTGAGGGCTTATAAGATTGTATATAGAGCTCTTATAGGAATGTCTCCATATAGGTTAATATTTGGGAAAGCTTGTCATTTATTTGTTGAACTTGAGCATAAAATATATTAGGCTAATAAAGAATTTAATTATAATTTAAAGGATAATTGTGACAAAATACTATTGCAATTAAATGAGCTTGAAGAGATAATGAATGAATCTTATTAGAATGCTAAGATTTATAAAGAAAAGATAAAGATGTGACATGATCAGACGATTCTTACTAAAAATTTTAAGTCATGACAACAAGTTTTGTTATATAACGCCAGGTTAAGATTGTTTCCAAGAAAACTTAAGTTCAGGTGGATGGGTTCATTTGTTGTAATAAAAGTTTATCCCTGTGGAGCTGTGGATATCAAAGATCTTAAAACTGAGAAAATATTCACAGTGAATGATCATAGGCTGACCCTACTTTTTAGGAGATCAACTTAAATTAAATGATCTTATGTTGTTGGGTTAAACTGAATAAGCACTGGTTACATCGGGTTAACAACATTAAACCAAGCGCTTTGTGGGAGACAACCCATAGTTATCAGTGTGTTTATGTTTTGAATGTCGTGTTGTTGTGTTTGATTAAGAAAAATTTTTGTAGTATGTTGAATATTAAATGATTTAGTAACGTTTCTAAGGCCTTAATATACGACTTAGACATGTTAGAATGAGTACTTGGACGTTAAGCTGGCCTGTGCTAAATTAAGCACCGGTGCTTAAGCGCCAAAATTCGGCGCTTAAGCATGACAGTTAACTAAACGTGCTAAATTACATTTCTAGAAGATTTAAATGTGGTTTAGTGGGTTTTAACGTGGGTTAGTGGTTTGAGAATATGTCTAGTAGTTTTAAACTTAGTTAAAACCTATTAATAGAAGGGAATGAAGAGAATTCTCAACCCACTTCAATTTTAACCCTAAAATCTAAGTGAAGAGTGAGAGATCATGGAAAAATGTCTTCTTGGGAGATTTATATGAAGAAAAAGGAGGAAGCCATGAAGAATAAGTTCATTAGTCAAAGTGCGCAAGAGTTTTACAACAATTTCCTAGTCGTTAGTATAGAAGGAATAGCGGAGAATATCGCAAAGATTGAGGCTGACGCGACTTCAATTGAAGCAAAGGTGAATGAGGTTAATGCACAATTAGAACATATTGAATGAAAACTTAAGATGCAATTTAGCCACACAAGTTTTATAGAAGAAGCGGACAAGACTATGCATTCAAAAAACAAATGGATTGAAGAGGACTCAACTAGAGTTCTTCACCACCGTTCGTTCTATTAGATCTATATTCCAAATGTCCCAGAAGAAACGATTGAAAGACCAGGAATTGTTCCACCAAAAAGAGAGTGGAATTAAGTTCTAAGTTTAGTGTTTGTTTGTGTTAGGTGTTGTGATGTTAGAATTAAGTTTATTTTAAGTGTTTTGAATGTTAAGTTTGGTTAATGTTTAATGTTTGTGCTTAGGAATTATCTCATCCAAGATTCTTTGGATTGAGAAATTATGTATCACAAGTGTTTGTATTTGTTTGTGAATTAATATAAGTGTTTGTTTGTGTGTATAATTCTGTGTTATTTTGTGTTGAATCAAATTAGTGAAGATTTGTGAATTTTGAGAAAGAAGAGAGTTGAAGGGGAAGAAGTTATTAAAGATTAAGATTTATAAGTCCATTTAGGGGTGGTTGACTTAGGCTAGATGTGCATTTCACTTAAAACCAAAAATATCCAAATTCGTGCACTGACACCTAAGCGCCAAAATCACGCACTTAAGAGCTGGACTACCCGAGAGGTAGGCATCTAAGCACTGAAACAATGGTGCTTAAGCGTCGGTTCACTTAAACCGGTTCGCGAACGGTTCAAGGTGAAAAATTAAACCGAAAAATGTCAATTTTGACCATAACATCGTCTTCTTCCCTTTGAGTTCACGAGTGAGGATTTAGAGCTTCTTTTAAAGTGAAGATTTCATTAGGGAATCAAGCCAAAGTTGCTAGATTTGATCTTCTTGAGATAAGAGCTTCACTTTTAGGTAAAAAATTTTTATTTTCACCGTGTATTTTGAGCACATTGGGGATTTGACCAAAAATCATTATTCATGGTCAAAATTTGAGAAAAATCTATGGAAAATACATATAAATTATAGTTTAAGCTTTTAGAAGTTGAGTTTAGTGATTTAGTCTTAAATTTAGGATTTATTGTGAATTTTATGTGATTTTAAAAAATGATTCTAAGAATGAAGAGGAGTAAAGGGAAGTCTCATTTCGATTCAAGCAAATTTGTCGGCTCAAAAGCTCAGGACATGTATACTGAAGCACTGCAATCGATAAAACTAATTCCTGAGAGATGTTTCAAAAGTTCGGGTGGAGTAGTGAAAGATTTAATTGTTCGTCGACAGTAGAAACGATTTTGTTATTTTTCTGCTTTGGCCATAATTTTTGTTTTTCGAGAGTTTTACGTTAACCTCATTGAAGCTGAAGAAGATAAGGTCATAGTTCGAGGAAAATCAGTGCCTTTCTCCCCTGAAATAATAAATATGTTTTACCAGTTGACCCCCAATGTATTATTGTTGACCTCACTTTTGGTTGAGGTCTAGAAAACTTCTTTAGTAGCCTAGGTCTAGCCATAGGACTTTCCTATTGACTAGTCTTAGAAAATTAGAAGAGGTACCCAACCATTAGAAATTCAAAGCCTTTCTCTTTACTCAATTTGAAATTCCACATATTGATCTCAACCTCTAGCATTTAGTAGGTAAGAGCATTATAAGAGAATTTAAGAAGAATCCCTATAGGATTACTTGGCTTTAGG